GAAAAAGTGAATTAATGTTCTTGCTTCACAAAGGAAATAATCACAGAAGTGATAATCTCGACCAAGCGAGATTACGACTCTTCTCGAGATCAAATCCAAGTTTGATCCGAAGAAAAGAGGGAACGTGCCTCAGATCCTTCTAGTAGCTTCCTCTTTATGCTGAAGTTCGCCAAGATCTGCTAGTCCTCCTTTGAAATTCGTGCTCCACTCATCCTAGCTCCTCTAAATTCGTGGCTCCCTTCAGATCTCTTCTTATGAGGGTGCTAGGAGTGTATTTATAGGCTTTAAATGTCGTGTTTGTGTATAGAAATGCCGTGTTTGTGGATAGGGTCGAAGAACAACCGTTTTTATCCGTTTAGGTGGGTTTTAGGTTGTGTAGCAGCTTCCACACGTTTAAGGATAACCCCACATGCTTATGGATAACCCCAAGGAGTTCTAGAAGTCAATCTTATCAGAAAATACGTCGGAAGCTGACCTGGGCGCGAGTCACTTCGACTGTCTCGCACATGTCCGAGACGGCTTGGACTGTCTCGGGTATTTTGTTCTTAACTCTTTCGTCTGACCTCTGAATGAGATGATTAAAGATGCGTTAGAAAGCTAACAAAGAGACCTACAACTTTTATGTTTTAAGATTCTTCATATTAGAATCGTATCATGGCCAAAATATACGAGACACAATTGGTATCTCGCAGGTGGGAAACAGTCTGGACTGTCTCGAGTATTTTGGCTCTAACTCTCTCGTCCGACCTCGGAATGAGGTGGTTCAAAGTGCGTCGAAAAACCGGAGACTAGATCTACAACCTCCCATAAGTGAATCATATGTGGAGTGGACAATACATGAGTGGTGCTTCGTCTTTCGTGAGTGAAACGTAATTCCCGATCGGATCGTTTCTTCGTCATTCTGTCGTCCCGTTGGTTCGTACGTTTCGTTGACTCGCTTCATTCGCTTATCGACGTCAGATAATCCTCCTTAACTCGAATAATAATATTTATCGTCTTCTCTCCGTCTCGAGCTGCGTGCTGGAACCCATAAGTAATTTTTAACGCCTACAAATTTCTCAAAAAATTCTTTAGTTTATTTGTAAACTTATACCTCATTGTACCAAACTAATACATCCAATATTTGCTTAAATAAAAAAATTTAGACAGGCCCATCAAAGATATTTCTTTGGACGCAAAGGAGGAGTGATGAGTGAAGTCTTGAGAGTGGGTGGTTTTAGCAAAATTCACCGTGACGTGGGGCAAGAGTTGGTATTGGGCATTGATGAGAACAGCTGTCTCCAAAGCCCAGTCGCCATCACCACCTAAAAACTCTCTCTCTATCATCTACAATCAAACCCTTGTCTTGTACTCTACTTTAATTTTATTTATTTATTTCACTTTTTCTCTAAAATTGATCTCCTTGATATTTCTGCTGTTTGTTATTGAGATACCAAATATTCTCCATTATTGGTCACAAGTATATGCAACTTTGCAGCCTGGGCGAGAAAGATCACACGGTGATGTAACTAGTACGTGCAATGTTGTAACTTTTCAATTATTAGCTTTAGAACAGTACACTGAAAATATTAATACTCGTACAAACCATAAATACAAATAGTTAATTTCTAATATAATCATGCAGTGTAATAGTCATATCAACTTTGAAATGTATATGTAAAAGTATGAAGCACATTTCTTAAATTTAGGCTTTATAAAAAAACCCTTTTAACTTTAAGATTTTACTAAAAGAATCCTCATAACTGGCTTCTATGGGTGGGTAAAAATATGAAACGAATTTTTTTTTCTAGTGAAAATAGTAGTTCACAAAATTTAAGTGTTTTTTGATAAAATTTTAATGCTAGTGGAAAATTTCTGCTAATCCCTAAATTTAAGGGGAGTTTATGATATTTTGAAAGTCATGAAAGATTATTTGATAATTATCTGAAGTTAAAGGGGTTTTTCTAAAGTGCACAATTAATTTCAAAAAAAAAATATTAATAGGATATTATCTCTCTATCTTTATTATGAGGTGTATGTCTCTTATTGGGAAGCGAGGGAATCAAAAAGGACGAGAGGAAATGAGTGGTTGCCAACTGCCAAGCCAAAAGCAAAGAAGACTTGAGGCTACCCCCAACGAGGAAACATACGCAACGCAAAAATAATGGCTATAAAAAATCTGCACTATCCTAGTTCTCGCCCATTTCTTTGCTTCTTTTGGGGTTAATTAGGACCATGGGTCCATGCCATCCTTAATAGCTAGGCATGGGAGCCCAAATGAAGAACCCCTGCGCTCATTAGGACCACTTTAGCCTTCTTGTTATTGCTTTCGGGGTGGCAACTACATCATATTTGATCATTCTAGGTTAGACAAGTGTCAAAGACCGTGTAAAATTATGTTTTGTGCCTTACTCCTTTCTTTTTTTCTAAGGGCCTACTTGGTTATTTACTAAAAAACCAAGAAATAGAAATGAAAAACAGGAAAACTCAAAAAGTACAATTTCATTCATTTCCATCCCTAAATCCTACCCACAATAGAACAATTTTTCAAAACAGACCCTTTTAAATTTTTATTTTTTAAAATCGACCCAGTTTTTTTTTATTTACCAAAACCGACCCGTTTTTTTGATTAGCAGCCTAATCATATTCCTAAATAGTCAGGGTTAGCAACCCCGACTATTTAGGACTTAAATTTGTATGGTTTAAGGTTTCTAATTAGGGTTTAACACCCTCCTAAATAGTCGGGGTTAGCAATCCCGACTATTTAGGAATGTGATTAGGCTGCTAATCAAAAAAACGGGTCGGTTTTGATAAATAAATAAAACAGGGTCGATTTTGAAAAATAAAAATTTAAAAGGGGTTGTTTTGAAAAATTGTTCACCCACAATATCTAATAAAATATTATTTTTATCCAATAACTCATCCCCACATCTAATAAAATATTATTTTCATCCAACAACTCATCCATCACAACTAATAAAATATTATTTTCATCCACAACATCACTCAACTCATCTCATCTCATTATTTTAAATCACTCACGTCATCCAATAAGATAGTGACAACTCATATCATCTCATTAACATTTTATTTCCATCAATTTCCTCCCAAAAAACTAGGAAAATAATTTCCTTAAGTGTGGGTCACATCATCCAATAATATAATAATAACTCATCTCATCTCATCTATTTTCTTATTTTTAAGGATGAACCAAACAAAAGAAAACAACATATTACAAGAAATATGTTTCTTATAATTCATTTTCTTATTTTTTTCGCCAATCAAACAACATCAAAACAATTTTTCTTAAAAATTCACTCACATCATCCTATAATAAGATGACAACTCATCTCATCCCATCTTCATTTCTTTGATTTCCTTCTTTTTTTTAGCAAACCAAACACTCCCAAAACATTCCTTCTTAGAAATGGTTTTCCATTTCTTTGATTTCCCACTTTTTTTAAGGCAAACAAACAGACCCTAAGAGTAAAAATGGAGCGAGATGACCTATTAATATATGTTAAAAAACCGGAAAGTCACAGCTAAAACTTCAAACAAATAAGATGACGAGAAAAATAAACAAGTTAAGTAAGGGAATGATCGAACAGAGGACCTTGTCATCACCCGTAAAACCTGCATATGCGTGGACGAATCTCATAACTCCCTTGTCTGACGAATTCGAAGGATCACAAAATACAAAGTTTATCGAGCTCGTATAAAGCTTGCACTATAATTACATCCCAAAATAAAAGAAAAAAAAGTTTATCAACCATTGTTTTGACTCGTATATAAAAACAGAGCTATCCATCATAAATTAGCTCCCTCCTTGTTATCTGGCTCATTCTCCAGAAATGAATGTATCCTCTATTTCTCCTCCATCTTCTTGATGGTAGTTGCTTGTTTCTGACTTGAGCTTCTGTACCAAAATCGAACAAAATGTGTCTCCTCAGATGCTACCTTCTTAGGCGTAGTATATTCTTCATTAAAGATCGGTGCATTAATTTTGAGCTCTCCATAAACATCAACAAATATTAGGAAAGATTACAGACCAGAGACTCTTGAGTCTTGAATCCCTTACGATACTACCATTGGCTAACAATATTTCCTCAAAACTATCAGGCCATGGAATTGAAGGTACGCAAAGGAGAAAGAAGCCCCATAGCTCCTTTGAAAAAACACATTGGTAATATTATTTATCTCCATATGCAAATTGCAAAATGGACATATAGGACCTCCAGTCTAGTCTTTTCTTGTCGATAGAAGCCAAAAGAATATTTTAATCTTATTTGGGATGATAGATTCCCAAAGAAAAGAACGGCTCCTAGAGAGGGTGTCAGCTCTATTAAGGAGCCGTAAAGGGATTTAACGTAAAAAAGCTATCTAGAGCCATAAAGCCATCATTAAATTGAGATATGAAGCAAGATAAGGATTGTTGGCACTACAAAAAAAAGAAGAGTTAGGGGCAATTATTTTCGTCACTTTTAATTTAATTAGAGGCAAATAAATGGAATTATCTGCCTCTAATTACATGAGTGGCAAATCTCGTATTTGCACCTAAATGTGGTGTTGCTAATAGTTATTAGGAGCAATATTGCACAAACTTCCGCCCCAAATACTCAATGCGCCACCTCAGCCGGTTTATTTGAAAAAGTATTAGAGGCAAATATAATCGCCTCTAATAACTTCTTAGGTGCAGATGTAAATGCCCCAAATAGTTTGAAATATAATAAATGTATTTACTTAAGGTACAAATATAATTGCCTCTAATAACTTATTAGATGCAGATATAAATGCCCCAAATAGTTGGAATTAAAATAAAGATATTAATTTAAGGTACAAATATAATTGCCTCTAATAACTTAAATTTGATATTAATATTTTATTTTTTAATAAATCTGGAAAAATAATTAATTTTTAATTCATATAATTAAATTGAAAAACAAACATAAAATAATTGAAACATGAAACTTTGATTAATAAGAAGTCAATCCAATTTGATTACATAATAATGTACCAAAAATGCTTAAAAAGCGTATGACAAATATTACTTAACAATAACTTAAATAACCAACAAAGTTGACCTTCAACATGAATGTAAAAATATCTAATTTTTATCCCTGTCATTCCAATCATTTGGGGACATCATCTGCTGTATAAACTCTGAATCATTGAGCATTGTTGTAAACTCTCCAGGTGAGTGTGGCACTGGGTGGTACAAAGGTGGCTGGTATGGATGGGGGTAGTAGAACTGCGAATATGATGTATACGGATACGGTGGAAGATGCTGATATAGAGGATATAGGTACGATGTCGGTGGAAGATACAATGGAAGATGCTGATACGGTGGAAGGTGACTGTTGTTAGGATGGAGACCGCTGCTGGGAGTTAGACTGTTGTTGGGAGGAAGATTGTTGATGCGGATGTGCGTTCCCTGAAGTGATCATCTGTTTCAACTCATCCAACTCCTTTTGCTGTCGCTCATACTTTTCCTCAATTTCTGAATATTGAGATTGCAAATTAGCATATGCTCGCTCAGTACGTGATCGAAATGATGAAGATGTTGGCTGAGTTTGTGCCACCCAAGGAATCATTTCTGGCGTCACCCCTCTTCCATAACCACGAACTCTACCACGAGTCTCTAAACCCCTTGCTGCTACATAAGCTTGTTGCCTTAGTTCTGATGTTTCCTCACCATGGGTTTCAACCAAACTCGTTAATTCCCATAAGATCTTAACCTGAAAAAAGAATTCACTTCAACAGCCAAAATGAACACAATATGAAGTAAAGCAATTTTTTACATGTATTACTTGTCTAAATACAAATGATTAAATTTCAAACTCACCGCCAATTTGAGATGTTTTGACATTTGAGATGGTTTGACAAACTCTGATACAAGCAGGTTTCTCGGAAATTATATTGAATTGTACAAGCATTTTTCAGATGTATGATAACCCATAACTGACATAACTTGAGATTCTAATTTATCTTTTTTAGCTCAATCTATGAGGTATTTTTATATGACCTATGTCAGTATACATATGTATCAGTAAATGCATAACATTACATACATATGCATAATAGTTGAGAAATATAGTAAAGTGATCAAGGCAAGATACGAAATTGGTAACTACTGCCATGGGGATAATTACTTACTTGAAACTAGCTCCATGTAGAGGCCTTCCTCCAAGAGTAGCACGAACTCTTCCAGACGAAGAATTTCCATTTAGATTCCTAGAGAAAAGTTTGAGCAGGATGTTAACCGCTAGAACTCTTCCAGACGAAGAATTTCCATTTAGATTCCTAGAGAAAAGTTTGAGCAGGATGTTAACCGCTAGTTAGCTGCAAGAAAGTGTTAGGAATTCAATATTCAAGCAAATTCTCTTACAATATTTTTAATGATGTAAGCTGGCCAAGACTTTTCGGAATTGAACCATTGAGGTCATTATAAGATAGGTCTCTCAAAACATGTTAAAAAGTTGGTTACTAACATAGAACATTTTCCTGATGCATAAACTAAATAAACAAGTTTGCATACTAATGCTTTTTTAAGAGAAATGAGAAAATAGATAATGAGCCAAAATTTTCTGCTCTCCCTCTCCTCTCACTTTCATGTGCATGCACACGCAGAAAAGAAAAGGAAGAAAATACATTATTGGCATGTAGTTGAAGCCTTAATTTGAAACAAGCACATACCAGATGTTAGAGAGAAAAGAAAGAGCACAACTTTCTGATAATGGGAAGAAACATGGGTACCAATATTCTACTAGAAAAAAGAAGGTTTTGGAACATGGCAGAGAACTAAAGAAAAACATGCGAATGGTTGCTCCATATCCATTTATATGTTTCTATGAATTTATACTCACAGTAAATCTTTTTATCACTTATGATCTTTCTCATACGCACCCAATTTCAGACAGAGTTAAGAGGAACAACATATCTATTATAGCTACTATAGCTTGATATCCATTGTATCATAGGCATTACCGTAAAGTCTGAAGTCCAGAGCCAGTATAATATGGCAATGAGCATATAGGAAATAGATACTCTTTTATCATTATCCACATAAGAAATTCCAAAGTTCACCTGGAGATCTTAAATAACAATAATTTCTAAAGGAACTTAGCTATATGTAACATACATCGATAACAATTACGAATGAACAGCTTAAATCAAGGCTGATCCTGGTAAGAAAATTAAAAATAAAAATAAAATAAATATACAAATGAACAGCTCAAGTTTAGAAATTTATACCAAATATGGTTAAGATATCAATGAAATGTAGAGAATTGTAAAGGCAGCAAGGATACCAATAATGTACTCACAATTCCTGCAACCCACTTATAGTACCAAGAGAATGGGGAATTTGCCCTTGTATACTGTTCCCGCTCAAGTTTCTGTTAAAAACAGGAGATCTGTTACCATTTCCATTTATGATAAACATTAATAACTAATACTATCCATAGTCTGTTTTGGAGTTAGACCACAGTACTAAATAATGGATCTTGAAGTTACTGCTAGATATTACATGACAAAATTTCATAAACAGAAGTAACACTACTGAACAAGCATACAGAAAATAAAATAAAGTAAAAGTAACTTGTAAGCTCACATGCTTTGCAAATGATGCAGCTTAGATATGTCTTCTGGCAAGAGACCTCTTAGACCTTGGTTGTCTAAAGACTCTAAACCTCTGCAAATTCAGAAAATATTCAGTCACTTAAGCAAAAAAAGACAAATAATGACAAATAGGTAATTGTAATGTTTATTGTGTTTACATATAATACTTTATTGAAAAGTACACAACCATTCACATGTAGGAGCATGACATCATCAGACATCAATACATGCAAAAAATGCTTCATAGTGAGAAACGAAGTATGTTGTACATTATATCGATGTATGTATATATGCATGTACATGAGTGCCACTTGTGAGAAAGAAACTCAAATTATGAAGCAATTCCTATTTTACTATGCAGTTTGATATGATGCCGAATAGACCAAGAAGCAAATATTTGCAGTAAAGTTATGTAGCAGTTGATATGCACACACACACAACGCATTTTGAGGGTCGACCTAAGGGGGAAAAAGGGAAAACACAATCCAAGGTGCCACATGCAATGAGTATATTTCTTCCTACTCAAGGCATGAATAGGCCTGACCTCCCTTGTCATGACCTATGAGGTTCATGTTTATGACAGTAACATGAACAACAATGAGAAAAGCCTAAAACTTGGACAAAAGCAAGCAATTAAAGCCCATCTGGCTTAGGCAGGTAAGGTGCACCTGTTTAGCTAATGATAGGGTGACCAATGGACCATTACTATGTCAGAATCTGAATTTACATGTAAGTTTTCTAGTAAATGTGTTTCTCGTCAAATATGCATAGCTACAATTCTTGAAGTTAACAATAAAGGGGTGAGTATGATGCCAAATATGTACAGCTACAATTCTTGCAGTTAACATTAAATTAAGACCAGGGGTGCATATATTACCCATTCAAAAACTCTATATTATAAATTCTCACATATAAAGACCTGCATTTGTTTATTAGCATATTCGCATGCGGATATATGTACCTACTTATAAGATTAGACACATATTCCTGTGGACTCAAACTTACAAGCCAAATACGCATGCTTCGGAAACACATTTTATTTAAAAACTGCAAATAAATTCCAAATAAAACAAGTCTGATTTCATCTCAAACATAACAAACTCTGTTTGTTGTTTTTCTAAATCCAGATAGGGAAAGGTATAGCATAGGAAAGAAAGTTTTGAAATTAAAGTAAGATATTGTTTAGATCATAAATAAATGCAAGGTCGAGAAAGTACAATCCATCTATGTTCCATTTGCCACTAACTCTGTCGAACTGGCAGTCCACTCCACTCCAAGGATGTTGCCGGGGAACACATGGATCACCATTCCAGCCAAGACGGAGTAGAAGCCCCAAAGAGTTCTTCAACACTAGCAAAGTTTTAACTATTAAAATACCATTTGAAAATGAGTTAGAGAAAATAATGCAAACATTTAGTTTAGCAAAACCTAATAATAACAGAAAAGAGACCCCTCAAATAACACATTTTGTTCCTACCCAAGATAGAATAAAAACTGCTAATAATCATTATTAACCTGTTTATACAAAAATAAAGGATTATAGCTAAATGTTAGGAAAGTAATGTTAATCACTTTGTCCATTGTATAAATGACTTAGTAACATATAACATGTCAACAAGATACATTACGATACATTTGTTATCTATTACTAACGGAAGCCGATAGTTTTTCCAATGAGATAATACTAAGGGTATATAGAGGAATGAAACTAATGAACTGAACACCATATGTAATCATGAAATATAAGCATTAAATCAAAGAATATTACTTCTCATGTGCATTAAAGAACTGATGTATTTTTCTATAGTAAGCCGGCAGACATACCTTCTTCAAATGAAGTTCTGAGCTCTGCTGCAATGACCTCAAAAACTTCAATTGCATTGATGATGGCATGACTTCCCCTTGAAGGGCGCAAGGTAACATTCAGAGTTTTCCCACTCACCACAATAGTTCTATTCAGCACAAGAGCTGTATTATGTTCCCCAGTACTATGAATAATATCAACATTTTTGAAAGCAATATCACCATTTATCAATATATCGAAGATCCTTTGTCCTTCACTTGATATTCTGGGATCAATCTCAGCAAGGTGAAGCCATATCGAATAATTTTTGTGGATCTACATCCATTTGAAAAGATAAATCAGGCTGCTTATCTGTGCTCACAATTGAGAGAGAGAGAGAGAGAGAGAGAGAGAGAGAGAGAGAGAGAGAGAGAGAGAGAGAGAGAGAGAGAGAGAGAGAGAGAGAGAGAGAGAGAGAGAGAGAGAGAGAGAGAGAGAGAGAGAGAATAATCCATAAATAATCCAAATTCGAGGCAGAAATTATAAGAAAAATAACGTAAAATTCTTAGCGAAAGAAAGAGAGAGACTTCACCTTTGAAGAGGATCGAAGTTTTCCCGCGATTGGGGATCGAAGTCCGACGCGGCGCACGAACTCCGACGGGGAATTTGGGGGCAGCGACGAACTCCGACGGGGGATTTGGGGATTTTGAGGGATTTGGGATTTCTGATGAGAGAGAAAGAACGGGGGATTTGTGTGTGGGGGGGTTGTTTTTTTCCTCTGTTTCGCGAAAATATTAACCCTAATTTGTTGTTGTAAAAATAAATTGGAAAACAATAGGGGCGGAAGTATGGGCCTCCGTAGGACAATACGCGTAAATAAAAGCAGCGCGGTTTTTTTTAGGGTTTAGAAAACATTAGGGGCGGATATATATGCCTCTATTTAGTCCAAATTACTTAATTTGGCGCCTCTATTATTTTCAATTCCCACCAAACTTGTAGGGGTACTATGAATCGCCCCAAATAATAGTAATAGGCACATATTCAATATCCGCACCTAATTCATAATTATTAGGGGCAAATCACTATTTCTGCCCCTAATAGATCGCCCCAAATGCTCACTTTTTTTGTAGTGTGGTCTTTTTGTTTTGATGATGTTTTAACAAATAATTTACAACTAATATTGTTTGTCTAGTGTTTGTATTTTTGTATTTATTATAGGCAAATAATGTGTTGGATGTTGGATGGAATAGTGCATTCACGATCATATCTATTGGAGGATGGAAGGAATAGTGGAGTGAAGCAATATAATTCAAGTCATATATAAGATCAAGCTCCATCCGTAACCAAGTCAAGCATATTGAAGATCTCATAGCTTGGGTATAATGTTTTAGGTTATATTATGTGTGTTGATACTTCAAGCTCAATCACATACCACAT